CTGGGGAACTCTGGGAGTTGAAGTCCACCCATCTTAAAGTTGCCAAGGTCGAGAAACACGGAGCTAGATGTTCAGCTCCCTTCCAGAAAGCAACAAATGCTGCTATAACCCTTTGACACAGCCTTGCAGACCAACAAAAGATAGAACAGCCAATCCATTAACCCACAAAAACTTGTTTGCAGCCCTGCTGGGATGGGGGAACCACCCAACTGCTCTTCCCAAGCCAGAATTGTCTCAAGAGTCAAGGACTGAATTCTAGCACTGGAGACCCTCTTGAGAGAGGCGTGTTGCTTTTCCATCCAAACGTAACTACGACAGCAGCTACGGGAGAGGTTCCCCCCCTGTATTATTACCTAATTCTGCCATGGACACAGTCGGAGAAGTCTCTCCATTGGTAAAGGAGCAGTATGGAAAGAAGCCTGTTGCGGGTGTGTAGTCACAGATCGGTTCTGGTTTGATGCCATTAATATCAAGCCCCGACTGGTCTGGAGAAGGTTGTATGTCTAAGTAGAAGCTGCTGACCGCAGAGTCGGCTTTGCTACCTTCTGGGGGGTGCCCATCAATGTAATTACTGAGGTCATCGTGCAGGTCCGTCAGCCCATTAGCCGTGATGCTGTAGGTCGGGGTCAGTGGCTCCGCTTCTCCAGGGGGCTGCTGGTGGTCTCGCTGCTGCTGCTGCATCCGATGCTTCTGTACCTCTGCGTACAAGCTGTCCCTCTGCTTTTTGGACATGCGACCAAACTTTACAGCTGGAATATATTCAAAAGCAATAGACCTGGTCACCCCCCATCACCACCAGATCAGCCGAGTAGATGAGTCGTGGGGCTTTCGAGGAGCAGCAGGAGGCGGCTGCGTTAAAAGCCTTTGGGCGCATCTGCATAGTTATGCCGTTTACAGCACGTGGGTCTGATCCTACACGTAAGGAACTTGTATCCTGGAAATTCAGAAGCTGGCTGTCATTCGGGTGTACTGGCTGTAGTCAATTTCTGAATAGCATAACGTGGGTGTGTGCTACCTATCAAGGCCGTGGGAAATATTTCAAAGCAGCGCTGCCCAAAAAAATATTCCAGAAGCTGCATCTCTTTAGCGTTTCGACTGAAGCTTCTCCCCAGCTTCTGCCCCAACAAGGAACGTTTCTGCTCAGCCTCTCTGTAAAATCAAGTGTCTGTCCGGGCTGAGAGCGAGGACAAGCTCTACCAACACTTCTGCTTCATTGACTATGCAAAAGCCTTTGATTGTGTGGATCACAACAAACTGTGGC